GTGCTCCTGCACTCTGTGTTCCTGCACTCTGAAGATGCCGGTCACAGGTGCTGGCGAAACGTTAGGAAACAGAACTTCAAGAACACAGCCACACAGCCCGGAAGACCCACACCAGCCATCGTATGCCGGCCGTGAAAGCCTTCGACAATACTTTGGGAGAAAGAGTTCAGCAATCCTGGTTTGAAAGCTGGGATTTCATCCTGCCCACTTGGGACCTCTTAGTGACGAGAAAGAGCTGCCTCAGAGCTGCTCGGAAGGTCGCAGTCCCAATCCAGGCTCCTAAAAGTCATCTCTAGTTTGAAATTCAGGAATGTAACCAAGCTCTCCATGAAATGACCAGGGGTTTGGAAGCAGGGGTGGGGGGGAGATTGTATTAAGGGGAGAGAAAAAAATGTCTTTGTTTTCAGATGATGTCACACTCTGAACACCCAATAATCTGAATTCTTTTTTTAAGGCTGTGCACGCTCATATACTGTAGAAGAGGATTCAGTATTTGAATGACTGAACAACTAGTATCCGCATTTTAGAAAATTGCTGTGGGTCATTTCTTATTGAGCTTGCCCCAAGCACACTCCTGGTCAATTCTTAGATCCAGTTCGCAGCAAGCACACATGCCACTTGTTTCATCTCCCATAAAACAGAGCTTGATGTTTATTAAGCATCAGCAAACATCAGAAACAATTAACAGGCAAAGCTGGGGTATTCTGGCAGGCAAACCCAAAGAGAGAGAAGGAAACAACAATCCACATTATTTCTATATCTATAAAAAGGTGTAATGGTATGTGGGAAAGACCTTGGGAGATGAGGGGAAGAGATTCTGCCTAGGGAACGGTCAGATAAGAGGGAGCATAGCCTGCAGCTGGATAGTGGACGGGGCAAGAGGCTCAGGAGGGACCCTCCCTTGTTTCTCAGGATTGTAAAGGAGATACAGGGAGAATTGTACTTTCAGACTTGCAAGACTGATGTCAGCCTTACCAGGTAGACCAGACAGGAAACACAACTAGATAAGCTAATTCTACTTTATTGTAAAGCTACATTAACAGAATATTGCAAGTCTGAAAGTACAATTCTCCTACCTTCACCTTTACAGTCCAAGAAATGAGGGAGTGTCCCTCCTGAGCCTCTTGCCCCACCCACTATCCAGCTGCGGGCTACACCCTCTTATCCAACTGTTCTCTAGGCAGCATCTCTTCCCCCCACCTCCCAAGGTCTTTCTCACATACCACAGTGAGATGGGCAGTGACAAATTTGAAATATAAAAATATTAAAAAATTTAGAAAAGGATACAGAACTTCCCAGGGCCCTTGGAATCAATCTGGTGGGTGATTAGCATGGCCCGTCCCAAAGGGAAGGGCCTTTCATAGTTCCAGCTTTAATCCTTTTATGTACATGATAGCAGCAGAATAGAAATGGAATATAGATGGAAAGTAGGACACCAGGTGTCCTTCCTCTGTTCTGCCCCATGAAGGAAATGATTTTGTGGATGGAAAGGATGCGTCCAACATGTGGGATCATAGAATCATATGGTTGAAAAGAAGGGGCCTTGGAGGTCTTTTAGTCCAACCCCCTGACTAGTATAGGATTCCTCTCCATTCTGAACAAATGGCTATCCAGTCTTTTCCTGAACACCTGGTTTGAATACCAAAACCCTACTTTGAAAACCAAAAAGATCTTGCTGGTTTTTGTCAAAATCACAGAAGCAGTGTTGCACTGCAGACTCCACACCTTTTGCACATGCATGCATTATCATGATGCGCTCACAGCTGCCATCATAATTTTTTTGACACTTCCCCAAAGACATCACTGCCCAGTTGAGTGTAAACATGGCTGCAGGAAAAGTTGTCCCTCTTTAGCATAGCCTGTAGTGTGAATCCAGCCCTTGTGAACTTTTCCCACTTTCTTCAGATATTCCATCTTGTAGGAATACAACCAGGTTTGAAAATGAAAGCAATGGATTACCCCAAGATATGATGAAAATTTAGAGTTGTCTTGGAACAGGTAGTGCTCACTTAACCATACCTTGTGGCAACAAATTGTGGAATCCATAGCCACAAGACATGGTGATGAACATTAACTTGAACAGCTTTACAAGGGATTAGAAAAATCAATGGAAGTGTAGAGGAGCAAGAACTGGGCTTCATTAAGGAATTCAGCAGCCATTAGGTAAATACCAGCTTAGCCCCAGATGGGAGGAGGAAGTGAGAAAGAAACTCCAGATTATCCCGCCTTGAGTCTCTTTGGTATAAGAGGGAAGGAAAGAGAAACACAATCAGGCTTTCAAGTGTCTGCTATTATACCCTTTTACAATAGAGTTCCGGTAGTTCTTTTGGTGTCTGTTTCCTGACCTGGCCTGCCTCGAAAGGCTGATGGGAGGACAGGTCACTTGTCATCACTCTTCTCATCAGTCTTGAAGATGCAAAATTATCTCCCGGTGGATCCACACCAAATCCCAGTTGCAGGGAAATGGGAGAAGGGTGGGTCTTGGTCGAGCCCTTCTACAGAACATCCGGTTGGCCCCTGGACGAAGCGGTTTGCCGGCCTAGGCCTGGCCTTCTCCTTCGATTTTTCAGCTCCTTTGGCAACATGGTAGGAAGAGTAAAATGCTGTCGCTCCCCATTTCAGGATGCTCTGGAGGTTTGTCTCCCTCTTCTCAGCACTGGATGAGAGGCAGCTGTGTAAACTGTACAGGTACAGCAAGACCGACCAAATCACCAAGTTCCTGGTAAGGGTTATATTTCCTCCCCAAACAGGAGGAGGTCAGCAACGTAGCCCAAGGGGATACCCCAGGTCTGCCCTAGTTTCATCTCTTCTTGGCTCACCAGCGGTGTCTGCAGGGGATTCCAAAAAGTCAAATGGGAGGCCACGGCCGTGCAATTGAAACCGCACCCCTTTTGATGTTATCACACCTGGGAAAAAAACAGCAGGGCTTCAGTCCTGTGGTTGTGGCCATTTTGACTTTTTTGACCCCCCTGGCAGCCCCATGGACACGCTTATCTTCTTCCATATAACCCTGAAGCTTGATTTTGAGCCAGCCTTAATTCTTGTAATGACCACATTTAGGTTGACAGAGTTTAGGAAGATGGCTGGTTAGTAAATGAATCTCTGGGGCTGAATTGGCTCTTTGTCCTACATCAAGGGGGCTCTCCAAAAATGTGGGTTGTGTGTCCCCAAATGACAGGTGTCTTGTAATTTTTGAGGTGAATGAAGGAGATGTATGGGGTTGGTTTTCCTGTACTCAGTGTTGGCTGATTTCCAGAGCTAAGGGAGGTCTGATGAGCACCTAATTCTAAATCAAGCTGGAAGGTCTAAAATTTACACTCTGAATTGAGAGCTTATCCTGGGATAACTGTCCTGGTGAATAAACTCTGAAGGGTAGAGTTTATCTTTCTTTATAGCTGGATTGGTTTTTCCTTAAGTTTCCTGGAATTTATTCCCTACCTTCCCTCAGATCTTAAATGGATGCACATTTTTCTCTACAGGGCAGAGTATTATGCCCTGTAGTAATAAAATAGAGTTCCAGTAGTTCATGTGATATCTGTTTCCTGACCTGGCCTACCTTGGAGGGCTGACACCAATGAGGTTTATTCAACTTTGGATTGATGCATTCTGTAATCCCAGACCTTCAGCCATGCCTTCTATGCTGTATGGTTTAGGGCAGCATTTTTCAAACTTGGCAACTTTAAGAGGTGTGGACTTGAAGTCCACACCTTTTAAAGTTGCCAGGTGTAATGGTATGTGGGAATAACCATGGGAGATGGGGAAGAGCCACAGCCAGGGGAACAGTCAGATAAGAGGCAGCTTAGCCTGCAGAAGGAATGGGGGCGAGCAAACCTCCCAGAAGAGACCCTCCTAGTTTCTTGGGCTGTAAAGGCAATGGGGGAGAAATGTACTTTCAGACTTGCAAGATTAATATCAGCCTTACAAAGTAGTCCAGACAGAAAGTACACCCAGATGAACTAATTCTACTTTATTGTATGGTTACATTAACAGAATCTTGTAAGTCTGAAAGTACATCTCTCCCCCATTGCCTTTACAGCCCAAGAAATTAGGGTGGGCCCCTTCTGAGAATGTTTGCCATGTCCCCATTCCTGCTGCAGGCTAAGCTGCCTCTTATCCAACTGTTCTCCTAGCTGTGGCTCTTCCCCCGGTCTCCCAAGGTCATTCCCACATACCACTACGCCAAGTTTGAAAAATACTGGTTTAGGGCATCATTCAAACTTTGCCAGTTGTGGTTTATTTCACAAATCATGGTTAAATAAACCATGGCTTAGTGTGAAGTGGGAACTCAATTCAACTCTTAAATCCCACACACCCGCATGTGGGCACGCCCCAAGTTCCTTCAGAGAGGTTCCTTTAGCTAAGTTCTTTCAAAAGCTGCCCCCCGTTACCAGCCACTGGCATGGGCCTCTGTTCTTGTGGTTTCGTTGCAGAAGGCCTATTGCCGTTTGGAGAACCCCGACTTGGTTACCCTTCCCAATAACAGCAAACTGGTGAAGCTACATGATCCATGGAGGCTTGCCAGGGATGCGGAGGTGCAGGAAAAGCTGGGGCAGATGCACTCCTTGTCCGGAGGCTGTGATCTCCCAGCAGGAAACATGCCTAAAAAAAGGTAAAAAGGATAGGAACACAGCAGTCATGGCTTACCAGAGTTTGACTTTTTTTTTCTGTTGAGAGCCACACTGCAGGAATAATGTGGTGGGAGCTTCATCACTTGCAAAGAGGTCATGGGGCTGAAGAAAGCAATGAGCAGGGCCAGAGCCCAAAATGGGTAGGACCAGGGGATTCACAGCAAAGTGGGACAAGTTATGGCAAGCATTGCCTTCAGCGACGTCACTGCACAAGCCCCTTGTTTATATGCCAGTGTCATGATGCTCATCAGCCACGAAAGCACATCTTGTTCCTAGCTTGCTGGCAAAGAACAGGCCAGCCAGTCCACCTGGCTTGTTTTGGGCTGGTAAATGTCAATTACTGACTGAAAGCAAACCAGCTGCAATCTGCAGCTCCTGGTCTATTTTTCTGGCAAAGAATAATTAGAGTGCTAATTATTTATGCATTTATTGCCACCCTCCATTTGACTTTTTTTTTTAAGATTCCAGCAAATTTCTTTTTCTTTTTAAGAGAGGGAGCTCCCATCAGTTTACTAACCAGATCTGCTCTTACATACCTGTTTTGAGATCAGCCAAGCCTGACTAGGTGCCTGTTGTGTTCCTGGATTGAGACATATTTTTAATCAAACCAACATGACTCATTCCTGACTTTGTCAAGTTTAGATCAGTCAGGAAGTTTGGCTCTCATAACTTTCATAGTGACCAAGCATGTCCAAACTTTTCAAAAAGTTTTTTTTCCTATAAATAGAATGGCTGAAAATTTGCTGAATCAGCACATGCTCTGAACTTCCAATGGTTCATGAGGGTGAGTTTGCAGAAATCCTGTGAAATTTGACTATATGGCAAGATTTGGGGTATTTTATTTTCTTAATTTTTTTCACTTTTTGGGCAACTGGGCCATTTCCCAAGATCAGGGAGCGATGCCAAGCATGATGCTCCTGAGGTAGCTCTCCAAAAATAGGAAGGAAGGAAAAGATATGATACTAAGAGTGGGAGGGCATCTTGGACCCTGCCTAAGTGGGGTCTTCATTTTCAGATTCAGCTCTTACAAAATTCACAGAGGTTTTCATGCTGTTTCTTCAGGTACTCAAGGACCCGAGAGAAGAAAGTTATGGAGCGACACTGGCTCCCACACAAATCATCTGCTCCTCCTTCCATTAGTAGCAATGAAGAAACAGGCAGTTCATCATCATCAGATCCCTATTAAAGACTGACTGTGGACAAGGACAGCTTTTGTAAAGGACATTAAACAAGAAATCACACAATTGGACTACTTTATTCAACTTTTATGACATTCCAAAAGCACTCAAACTTTTTGCAGGCATTTAGCAAAATGTCAAAGACCCACTTCCTATGTAATGTTTGTGGCAATTTTCATTAAACTATCATCTGTATGGCAACCCCTTTTTCATTTCCACTTCCATTTTGAAGAAGTTGCTTGGGGGAAAACCCCAAGGTGGGGGGAGAGTCAGGATCTATGAAAGAGGGAAAAGGGAGAATGGACGTGGTTGCATGACCAGGATTAAGGTAAGGCTCCCACTTCAATTCAATTATAACAAAAAACATATGGCCAGGGGCTGACAGTGGAACAGATCACAAACTGCTCATGTGCAAGTTTCAAGTCAAGCTCAAGTGAAAGAAGAAAGTCAAATGGTTTCCACAACATGATCTTGAGTGTATATCTACCATTTTCAAGGAGAACATTAGGAATTGCTTTGAAGTTCTGAATCTCATTAATAGGACACCAGACTAACTGTGGAATGAAATCAAAGAAGTTAAGGAGAAGTATGAAAAGAGACTGCCAAAGACCAAGAAAGAGAAGAAAACAAACTGAATATCGGAGGAGATGATGGAAATTGCCAAGAAGAGAAGAGAAGAAGAGAAATAGTATTACAACAACACCTATCAAGATATCAAAGATGGTAACAGACACAGAGAACAAAGAAAGTTTTCCAAAGGATCTCTGAACTCAGAAGAAGGTTCCAACCTTGAACTGGCATGCTAAAGGTCACCAATGGACAGATAATAGCTGATTCAAAGATCAAACAAATATTGAAGGAGTCTACTATAATTAAGTACAGTAGAGATTCAACATCCAAGATACCTTAGGGTTATCTTATAAGGTTATACCCAACCTTATAAGCTGGCTTTAAAATTGGAGGAAGAAACATCAATAACCTGTGTTATATGATAACACTACCTGATAGCCAAAAATACAAAAGATCTGCAAGCTCTAGTAATAAAAGTCAAGGAGCACAGTGAAAAAATGGGACTAAGATTAAATATAAAGAAGACCAAACTAATGATAGCTGGTAGACCAACCAACCTTAGAATTGACAATGAAGATACTGAAGTGGTGGAGAGCTTCTGCCCTTTAGGGTCAACCATCAACAATAAAGGAACCAGCAGCCAAGAGATATGCCACAGACTAGCACTTGGTAGAGCATCCATGAAGGCCTTGGAAAAGATGTTCAGATGCTATAATGTGTCTATACCCACAAAGATCAGAATCATGCAGGGAATGGTTTTCCTTGTGACAGTTTATGAAAGCTGAAGTTGGACTTTGAAAAAGCAGGGTAGGTAGAGGATTGATGCCTTTGAACTTTGGTGTTGGAGAAGACTCCTGAGAATACTGTGGATAACCAGTGGATCATAGAACAATCCAGAGTTCTCCCTCAAGCACAAATGACCAGACTCAAATTATCATATTTTAGACACATTATATGAAGACCCAGCTCCCTTGAGAAGTCCATAATGCTGGGAAAGGTGGAGGGAAAGAAAAGAAGAGTACAACCCTTATGGCATATAAACAATCAACCTACATTAATCAAAGCTTGTAATCCAATTTTTAATCTTAAGGGAATATTTGGAGAATTATCTTTAAAAAAAATCTGACATTTAAAACTGTGAAAGTACCCTCACTTTGCAACTTATAGTAACACCGGTATACAGTAGTTTAGTGGTAGTTAAAGTACATAGTGTTAAGTAATGTAAAATGTTATACTTGGATATGGAAAATCCAGGTTTAAGTTCCTGTTTGATCCCAATATTCACTGGTTGACTATGGTCCGGATCCTCTTTTTCAGGCTAAACTACTTTACAGGGTTGTTGTGAAAGTAAAATTTTGAGAGATCCTCACGTAAGCCTCCTTGAACTCTCAGGAAAAAAGTGAGATGCAAATGCAATTTATAATTGTACAATGAACTAAAACTACCAATTATGTAAGGCTTTTAAAGTAACATGGCCTGTCTTCATGCGAAACACTTAGGCATGGTTAGAATCACAGAATCAAGGAAGGGAAGGATAGGAAAAGTTCATGGAGACATCTAGTACAGGAATCAACTTCTACAACATCTCTTGCAAATGGCCATCCAGTGTTTGTTTAAACACTTTCCGTGAAAGAGAATTTGCCCTCTCCCAAGGCACGCGCTCTCATTCTCTCATTCTCCACTTATTTTTTTTTCTGATGTCCAATCCCACTCCGCCCCCCCCCCCCCCC